TGCGGAACTGAGTGCGGAAGGCAAACTGGCCGATGTATAAAGGACCGCTTACGTGAACACAAACATATAGCCAGTTCAAGAGCTGACAACCCCATTCATCCGATCGCGATTGACGCCAACGAATGCATTGGGTGCGCGCCTGACTTCGGCGGGAACCAAGACAAAGGGGGGACACCGCTATCGCTACAAACGTGGGATCATTGAATCCTTCCTTATCGAGAATGCAGAAAACAACCCTTCATCGGCTTCAGTACACTTATCAAAAAAGGGAAATAGAATTCGTCATACCTGAACTTGAAAAAAAAAATATCAAAACTCCCCGTGAAACAAGGAAGGACAAGCATACCCATGCTTTTGGGGGCCGGTCTATGTACTGTGTAGAAAACGGGACAATAAAATATTTATTATTATTATTATTATTATTATTATTATTATTATTATTATTATTATTATTATTATTATTAAAAAACAACTAGACCATCACTGCAGTTCTGCCCATGCTCGTTGTTTCCTCCTCTCCCTTTCCACCCCCAAGTTTCCCTCCCCCCTTATCACCCTATTTTTGTTGGATCTTGTTCAGGGTGCCATTTTCCCGCCCAAATGAACGATGTTTCTAAATGAAAAATCGTGGTTGTCCTGTGATTGTCCTCTGTGTTTTATTCTTTCGATTTTAAGTACCTTGTATGATATATGTATGTGTTTTTTTTTTGAAGTGACAATGATTAAAAAAAAACATTAAAGGTAATTTTATGTGGTTTCACAGGTGATTTTTACGGCCAGGGGGACAATTAGTCGGGTAATTAAATAGTATTTTAATAACTCAATTTCTGTATTAGGGAAAATAGATATATAATTCAAATTAAAAAAAAAAGAAAACTTGCTGAGCCTTATTCAGATTTACCAAATCAATAATTTTTATAAATATTTGGGGCGCATAGGGAAGCTTACATGGTAGTGCACTAAACGTACCACTCGCGCAGCAAGTACAATGCTGGAGTTATTATAAGAGCCGGAAAAATCGCACAGCCGTATTATCGCACCGGTAGTCTAGCTCCTGCTGCACCACAATTTTAGCGAACTACTTTGCTTCTAACAGCGCTCAAAATATTTTTGGAAATTACCGATTTAGTGTTTATCGATTCACCAAGTGTTTGAATCGAAAACATATTCCTATTTTAGTAAATAAAAAGTTTATGATCAAATTTTACTTAATTTTCCGACTTATTGTTACGATTATCTCCCTATTGTATGTCCCCCTAGGCCATATAATTCACTTGCACAAACTGCAGAAGTGTAGCTTTCATGGCTTTTATTTCATTTAGTTTCATTCTAAAGAAAAACACAAACACGGATGTTCCATTTTACTTTGAACAGGTTTAATACAAAACATTCGTAATTGATGCACGAATAGGGTTTGTGCAGGTGAGCTTTACGGCCAGGGGGACATTATGTGGGTGGCTAATCTTTGTGGTAAGTCGGATAATTAACTAAACTTCCCTAATTATATGTTTAACTTGTAAAAATAATATAGAAAACGCAGCCTCAGGTTATTGTTTTCCACGAACATTTTCTTCTGTATTTTGTAATCATGTTTGTCACGTGCAAAGCACGTGCGTATATTTTCTTTTTCTTTTGATCATGCGCTTTTTCGCTTGGCATGTGGCGTTCGAACCTCGCCTTCTTCAGAGCAGAAATAAACCTCGGAGTCGTTCAGCCACCACCGGACGCCCGTCTTACTCACGACGGGTTCAGCCACGTCCTAACAAATAATCATATGGTTTCAATTAGAAACATGCTGAGCGTAATTTAAAGCCAGCATATCATTCAGTATTAGAACCCCTTGAAGCTCGTGGGGAACTCGGGGGCACCCCAAAGTTACCACGCGTGCATCAGGCGCAAAGCTAGCAGTGGCAAAACGCGGATGATTAGATTACCATTGCTTAAAATTGAATATTTCAAAAGTTAAATAATTCATATGAATTAATTATTGTCAGTGACAGGTGAAGAGTAAAGTTGAAGCTCCTCCTACCCTTTTCCACTTCAGCAGAGCGAACGCTGGAGAGGAGGTGACCTCCTCTCCTGCTCACGCTCGGCTAAAGTGGAAAGAGGTGGGAGGAGCTTCCACTTTACCCTTGACCTGTCACGACTATAGTTTATATATATATGTATGTACAGCTAAAGGCGAGTTACCAAGAAAAACATCGTCTTGCCATATGCCTTTGAAACTATAATTCGCGCGACTTGAGTTTCACACCTCTGTGCATTATAAACCCACTGACAGCCATAGCTACCTTCTCTGCTCGAGCCATCCTAGATCCTAAATCAACTCTATTCCCTTCTCACAATTTCTCCGCCTCCGTAGGATTTCAGCGACGACAGTGATTTCCGTCATGAGCTTAAGACGATGACCATCTTCTTTATTGAACGTGGTTACGCCCTCAGCCCTCGGCGGAATGCCAGCAGTCGCGTTTCTAACATTTCGCGGCGCGACACCTTATTTTCCCAATCAAGGTCTAAACCCCCGTGTAACCCCCTCATCTTCATGTTCCATCCCTCGATACCTATATACTCGGTAAAATAAACATGGACGCCACTCCCACCTCGTAGACTCCAAAGTTATTTCTAAGGCACCCGCGCTAACTTACCGTCGAAAGCCCAACTTACGGTTCCTTTTAGTACGCAGCAACCGTTCCATAAGACCTCAGACTTTACTCCCCGGCACCACGCCGTGCGGCGTCCCAAAATGCCTTACATGCAAACACACCGGCCCTCCTCACAACCTGCTTATGAGAATCCCTAACGATCACAGCTGTAAATGTTCTAATATGATATGCATTATTTCCTGCACACTGTGTCCAACCTTAATATATATCGGTGAAACTGATCGCCGACTCCACGAACGCTTCAAAGAGAACACCGCAGACTTGTCACACTAGAAAGAGCAGGCCAACTCAAACATGACCTCTCCACACACGTATCTAAACGCTTCTCCTCCACAAATCACTTTGAACTTAACATGCGAGTATGCGTCATCAAATCAGGCTTCCATACACCCACCTCACGGAAAAAAAGAAGAAAACAGATTAATTTTTTTAACTTAAAGACGAAATTTCCTTTTGGTGAAAACAAAAAACTTTCCTTTCGGCTATTAGACAACCCCCTTTTCCCCGCTCCTTCCTTTTTTTATAATTTGGTTGGTCACGCGGGGGCTATAAGCTTCCCCCTAGCCGCATTCCTCAACTTGTTGACTTCAAAACTTTTGCACCTTACTTGACAACTTTTCCTCCTCCCTCTCTGACTCCACAACGTCACATCTGTCACGTGTTACCTATGCCTTTTTGTATATACGGTATTATTATTCCGATCTGTCATCTCCCCTAGTATATCTGAAGGAGACCGTTTGGTCAAAACGTCGTTTTCCTCCTTTCTTTGGCACTTATCTTTCACTTCGTATCCGTTAACACTCCACCCCAACTCCCCAAATTCAGCGCCCGAGCACAGGAAGGTTCCACCAATAAAGCATTAACTCCAAATGCTACCCAAGTTCTGGACCAACCAAACTGCCCAGTGCCCATGTTTGGTCGTAAAATTTATGCTTTATGCTTCATTCTTAATTTTCTCTAAAACAAAATTTCTATTACTTACTAGGCCTAGTCGTTGTGTAGTGAACATATAGGGTGTTTCACGAAAAGTGGACAAATTCCATATAGCAAAAAATACGCCTCGCAACAAAAAGGCAAAAAAAACTTGTGTCGTTTTGGTCCTGGCCCAGGGGCCCATTAACGAAAATTATTAAAGTTTGTGATAATTAAGCTGTTAATTACCTTTCCGTAATTAACTTTTTTATTGTTGTGTTTAAAGGCATGGTCTCAAATAAAAAGTCGCTCAGCATCATCGAAAACCACTAAATCTACTGATTGCAGAACCACAAAAGGCACGCGCAGCATTTTACGGCTTTCTGAAATTCTCGAATTCGACTGATTTTTAAGTTTCGGTTTGCAATCGGAGCGCTTCTCGACCCTGACGGCACCGCGCCCCGTTGAGAAATAGTGCAACCAACCTCTGCTGCTCTACACTCTAGCTGCGCTGTCCTCGCACAACGCAGCAGAGGCTGGTTGCACTATTTCTCCACGGGGCGCAGTGCCGTCGGGGCCGAGAAGCGCTCCGATTGCAAACCGAAACTGAAAAACCCGTCTAAATTGTGCGGTTCTTTAGAAAGCCGTAAAATGCTGCGCGTGCCTTCTATCGTTCCGCAATTTGTTGATTTATTGTTTTTCAATGATGCTGAGCAGTTTTCTAATTGAAAACATGGCCTTAAACATAATTTATAAACGTTAATTACGAAAAAATAATCAACAGCTTAATTATCCCATACTTAAATAATTTTCCTAATTGGGCCCCTGGGCCAGGACCAAAACGACACAAGCATTTTCTTGTTGCGACGCGTAGTTTTCGCAATATGGGATTTGTTCACTTTTCGTGAAACACCCTGTATTCCTTGTTAGGAACCTCGTGTCACCCCCTTCGCCCGACAAGTTTTGTCCAAATTAAACCAACCAGCCTAGTATATTTATGCAACCCCAGCGGTCGAAAAAATTTGATTTCAAAGAAGTAAAGAAAGTCAAAAAGGAAATACAACGAATGCTGATGCTCGTACAGGCTCGCTGCAACGAAGATTCCCTCTCCTTTGAGTGGTGGAATTAAATAACCCCCTAACCAAAGACATTATCTCTAAATCCAGCGGAAATAGGTTGTACGTTACCTTGACGGCGTTAAACATTTTTTTTTTTAAATCGACGCTTTTATATTTTATTAGAACTCGATTTTCACAAATAAATACCCACCTGATCACGTACCAGTTTAAGCAATTAGTGGCCTACGGTCAGAGGGGAAGGGTAACTACAGGCAACGTCTACAAATCATTTCCAGTTTAACATGGTGTTGAAGCATTTAAATAGCAAGACGTTATACCAATTCGTGGAGGTTTCATGACAGCTTACCGTGAGGAACCTTTGAACCGCTGGCCGAACGCGTGGACATGTCCGGTTTATACATTAGTAAAACGGTCTGAAAGTACTGGCTTCCGAGCTGTTAAGAAACGGTTAGGTGAGGTCCCCAGTTCGTTCCTATGCTCGTCAACTCAGAAGCCAATGACTAGTGGGAATAGAACTAAGGTTCGCTCCCACAAAGGAAATAAGCGTCTGCCGCAGCGGCTGCTTGCTTATCAGTCAAGGGAAGGACATGTAGATAAGGTTATTGACAAAACAAAACTTGCAAGACTTGTATAGATAACATACCCAGACGGCTAATTGGAAAATTCCACTGGGGATAACAAAAACATGTACCTCTATTGCGGAGACTCTGTGTGTGATTAAGTGGTTGAATACATTATCAAAGATATTCGTAGCTGTGTTAACTGTGTTTGTTCCGCGTTTTTGGCTTAAATAATAAAACACTACGAAAAGTATGCCAAACATGTTTTTTGTTTAAATTTGGTTTTAACCAAAGAGGTCAGTGCATTTAATGACAAGGGTAAAACTCTCAGCTGATGGGTAACCTCCATTAAACCCTGTTTGCATGTGGAGGGGGGTGGTATCCGGCTGTAGGGGACACATGAATTGCGTGAATACATACAGGAGAATCGAGCTCAAAAATCAAAAATCTGAATTAAGCGATCAATTTCAAGCAGTGTTGCGGAGTTGCCAATCCGGAGTTGGAATGATTCCGGAATCATTCCACATTTTCGCGATCCCGGAATGGAATGGGAATGGAATGGCGGCAACGTTGAGGGGAATGGAATGGGAATGGAATTAGATGCCTTTTGCCCGGAATGGAATGGGAATGGAATGGGGCCAGGTTCTTTGTATTTTTTTTTATTCATTTGACTTTTTTTTTTTTACGTTTAGCTATACTGAGTTAGTCAGCTAGTCAGTTGTTCAGAAATAAAATGAGCGGGAATCTGCAAACCCGCGTGGGGCCCTAACCGCCCATCCACACTGGAAGCGGATCCGCGTTCGCAAAGTGGTTGCGAACGCGGTTGTATAAAGGCCGGTTCACACATGCAGCGAAGCGCTGATGTAGCGCTGCTCACGTGCCGTCAGCTACTTGCCGTCTGCCATGAGCAACAGTTTTGACGGTGCGATACAAAGCTGGTGAACGCTGCCGTCAACACGCGCTTAGCGCGAGGTCAGCGCTATGCTTGGAGCGCTCCGCTGCATGTGTGAACAGGCCTTAAAGATCCAGTACAATTGCACGTGCACTCGGTGGCATCAAGTGCGCGTGCAATTGTACTGGATCTTTATACAACCGCGTTCGCAACCGCTTTGCGAACGCGGATCCGTTTCCAGTGTGAATGAGCGGTAAGAGACTAAAGGCCGGTTCTCACATGCAGCGGAGCGCTGATGTAGCGCTTCTCACGTGCCGTCAGCTACTTATCGTCTGCCATGAGCAACAGTTTTGACGGTGCGATACAAAGCTGGTGAACGCTCCCGTCAGCACGCGCTTAGCGCGAGGTCAGCGCTACGCTTGTAGCGTTGCGCTACATGTGTGAACAGGCCTTTATACGCAAAAAAATGCAATACAAAAAACAATCGTCAAACCAAAGAACAAAGGGGGGAGGGAAGGGGCGCCTTTCACCAGTGAAGTTCAACACAAATCCGAATGCGTCTGCGCCTGTTGCACGGCTCAATGGTACGTCCTCAGTCGATGTAAACCTGACCCGCTGCTCTGGTGATCCGATACCTAGGAAGGAGGCCAGACGTGGCCTCGCCTCGCTGTGCAGACCCAGACTTCGTACTCCTGCGACTCGTCTCGAGCGCGCTGTTTCTTGGAGAGCTCACACCTGTGCCGGCCATCTCAGGTCGCAATCCACAGGTCTCTGTTTTGATGATGCTAGCCGACACTTGAGGACCGCCATTCATGCTTTGGAGGTCGGCAGGTAGGACCGTCACAACAGGGATGCCACCGTATCGATTTTTCAACCGTAACAGAAGATAAGACATGTGCTCCAGGATGCTTCAGGTGGTTCACCCTATTCTCGAAAATTACAAATTCAACTGCCTGCATGGTCTTCAACAAGGTGACCTACAACGAAATTACGTATTCTCCTTTCATACAGCAGCGTGGGTACAGTTTCATGTTCAAGGCAACACCTACAGATACAAGAATACTTGTTCATTCCGCCGTGACGTCATGTGATCACTGTTGACAGGGGCGCCCTTATTGGACAGGGGAGTAATGATGTTTTGATGGAATTTATTGAGAGGTCGAAATCTTTTCGCATGACTGGTCATCAGACAAGATGCCAGGGAAGAAACCGCGGTCAATCCTTGATGGAACGTTTTTCGGGGGGGAAAAAAACAACTTCCACTTCAAATTTAAAATCTTAAAAATATTTGAAACATGTATTGCATTATCAGTATTTATATTTCTGCCAGGCACATAGCCAGGATTTCTTTTTTCGGTGAGGAGGGGGGAGGAGGAGTAGGAGGTCCCAGCAAAGTGGAAGATTTCGGGAAAACCCGGGCCCGATGCCCCCCCCCCCCTTCCCCCCCCCCCCCCCCACCCCCGGCTGCGTGTCTGATTTCTGCCCTCCCTAAAATATATACCTGTATTTGATTTTCCAAAGACTTTTTGACTCTTTTTAAAATGTATTGCTGATACGTATCGCGATACATTATTACATATATATTTGAGTATCAGTATTTGAGGTACTATTTTCGTCTATCCAAGTATTTGTATTTTCAAATACATTTTTGACTATTTCTGCCCAACCCTGCAACGCAATGCAGCTGTCAAGTGTCAATTTTTACGTTTAGGAGTTTGAGGAATGGAATGGAACGATTCAGCCATTCCAGGAGTGGGAATGGGCTTAGTGTCCCCATTCCTAGGAGTTGAAAGGAATTGAATTATCGAAAACTCTAATTCCCCGGAATGGAATTGGAACGGAATGAGGGTGCCCATTCCGCAACACTGATTTCAAGCTCCCTCTAAACTTTTAGGCATCAACATCATAATTGGTGATGTTTGTACGAATCACGATATTGAAATTCACCCAAGGTTTTGTAAGTGGGAGTATGAAACGTTTTACTACCTGTTACCTAAAGTTTCTTCATTTTGTTTTTAATGCGTCAGCACGTCGCTTTGACAAGGGAAAGGACAAGGGGAAGTATGTATTTAGAAAACATCCAACCTGTGGAAGGGGAAGAACTTCTTCAACAAAAAAAAAAAATAATCGCCGGATGCGTGACGCATATTTGGTACGCAAGCAAAAAAGACTTTTAGTGCGCTGGCTCTCTCCTCTTCCTCATCCGTTTGGATGTTTTGCGGCGCAAAAAACTCGGGCTCTTCGTTACGTGGCCGATGTTGTATTTGGTATACTTTTAAAATATGATAGCATACTTTAGCCACTTCACCCGGATTTAGTGGTACACTACCTGGCCTTGAATGCGCCGTGCGTATGCTTGGCGCGCGTATGCGGACGTAGTTCTAGAGGTCGCCCTTAAGGCCGTCCAAGAGGTCATCCTAGAGGTCGTTTTAGACGTCGTCTTCGACGTCGTCCTTTGGAACGTTGTCCTTGACGTCTTTCTAGACGTCGTCTTTCGGGTCTTCCTAGAGGTTGTTCTTGAGATCGCCCTAGAGGTCTTCTTAAACGTCGTGCTTGACGGCATCCTGTGGGGCGTCATCCTCGATGTCGTCCTAACAAACAGATAAACCCGCACCGCGCATACACGGAGCGGCAGTAGGCACACATTCACATTTGCGCTGACGCTACGAAGCGATTATCAGTTTGAGGTGAGCTAGTTTGTACTATCGGAAACAATATGAGCGTGAACGGGCCTCCCCGTGTCGCCGCTAGCTGAGGCGCCGCCCTGGCGGCTCCGTTTTGAAAGTTTGCGCATGCGTGTACAAATCCAGTCGCTGTTCTCGATGTGACTGTTAACCCCCGTCTGTCGTCGGCTATGCGCGCGCTGGCGGCCGCTCGGGCTGTCGTCCGCTATGCGACTCGTGTATTTCCGTCGCAACTCAGACAAACGACTTAACATGATTCAGGAGTTTCCTGTGCGATAACCCAATGCCCACATTTGATACGTGATACGTAGGTGGCTTCTTTCATTGGGTCGAGATGCAGCAATAACATGCAAATAAATTCAGGACAAAATATCTGCGAAACTAAGCGTTCACCTACTGTGAGCCCGGAAAAGATTCAGTTAAGCGAAAAATGACTAGAGTTCCTGACGACGAACAGGTCAACATAGTTGAGCCGTCCCTCCAAGGCTACTCTCAAACGGCTGTCTCCAGTATGGCTGGAAGACCGCTGAAAACAGTGAACAGAACAATACAAGCATATAGGGACGACGAGAGAAGGATTCAAGATGCACCCCACCCTCGTCGACCACGCGCAACAACAGCCGAAGAGCACCACCATATTGTCGCGGCAATTTTCACGGACCCGTTTCAGTCGGCAAGAAACATCAAGGAAGCCCTCGATCTTCACATCAGCGAAATGACGATCCGACGAAGGCTTGCTGAGGTGGGGCTGAAGAGCCGAATGTCGGCCCAGAGGCCTCTGCTCACCGTCACAAAGAAGGCTCGACGGTACCGATTTGCACAAGACCACCTGGAGTCGACAGTCGACCAGTGAAGGAGTGTCGTCTTTTTTGACGAGTCAACATTCACGACCATGTGAGACCAAAAGCTGCGAGTGTGGCGGCCCGACTGCCATCGATATAGAACACTGCCTTTCTATTGATTATAACCAGTATTCTGTAACGCGCAGTCAATTTTATAAAACTGAAACCGTTAAATATTTTTGTAACGCAGATATATGAACCTCAGTTCGTCCAACATGTCGCAGCCAGTGGTCCCACCATGGTCAACGCCTGGGGACGGGCTTGGGCCCGTCCCCAGATGGTTAGTATTGACGGGATCTTGACGTCGCAGATGTGCTGAGAAGTAATCGATTACGTCATGCTCCCTTACGTCCTGGACGATGCCTTTCCCGATAGTGACTTTACCTTCCTGCACGACCTGTCGCCCGTTCACACCTCTGGGATAGTTCGTCGCCTCCTCGAGGAGCGCTGCGTCACCGAGCTGGCCTGGCCCCCCCAAGGGGGCAGATCTCAACATTCTAATATATAGAATGTCTGGAGGCTCATGAAGGCGGCCATGGCGCAGCGTTCTCTTCACAGGGTCACAGCTGACAAATTGTGGCG